AGAGAGAGAGAGAGCATACAATCCCCCTCCCCCCGCCCTGGTTTTACCAAGTAATTTTCGCGTAATTTGTGCTTGAAATTAATGAAATTAAAAGGATAACATTTGTTAATAACCGCTCAAAATGTTTTCTTTCAATTTTTTGCCGCGGATAAAACAAAGGACACGGTTAAAGGAATGACCGAGCTCTATTTTTTGTTGAAATCCGAAATTTGCGAGTAGGGAATAATGAGAGAGACAAATAGATTTTTAAGCGTCGGCCCAAGTTAGTACAGAAGAGCAAATGAGTTTTCTTAGCGAGGAAAAAAAAATGTTCGGAAACACTTTTGCAGGTTCGTGTAGTAGTATACGGAACATTTTGAGCAAGAAAGTATGTGCTATTGTACTTCTATAGTTTCTTAATTAAATCTGGTATTTAAAATCAGTTCTTTAATCATTTCTTTTTTCTCTTAGTTTTCGCGTAATGAATGGAATCGGGACACTGGTGCTATTGACACTTTTTGTGCACTGTTAGGGACAAACGCAAAAGTGTATCGCTGTTTGTTGGGGCTAAATCGTTATTAAATTGAAGAGGGAAAAATAATTTGTGAAATCTCTGTGAGTGGAACGCAAAGATTGGCAAAGATTTACCACAGTAAACGTATCGATAAATCCATAATGAGTAAATCCGCAGTATACATATTTTTTGATACGTATAATGTTGATTTACTCATTAACAAATTTATAAACTACATTATAAAAACGGATTACTCTCTAATTCGGGATTAATATTCGTTTTAAAAAAAATCCGCCAATATCGGAGTAGATTTCATACATGCTTGCCAATTTTATTTTAATTTTTGTGTCCGCCCAACGTAAAGGATCTGTATTTTAATTAAATTTAAAAACTCCACTGAGCCTGCATCGAAATTCTATGTTCTAATTCTGTATTTTCAGTAAAGATACAGTATCAAAACATTATATTGTAATAAAGATATCGGAAATACGATTTTGCCGCAGGCTGCCTGACGTTTTTAAATTCAATTGTTTAATTAACCCGTTTCAAAAAGAACGGCGATTTTGTTTGGGCGTTTGCAATAAGAATATTTATCATCCCAGAAAATTGTACTGTATAAAACGTATTGTATTCATGTATAAAACGTGGACTTGCAAAGAATATTGTGTTGCATATATGTATACATATTTTCGTTCTATTGGTTGGCTACTATGATGAGGGGACCAGGAGGGGACTAGATAGTAAACTCTGTGCATATAAATGACAGTTGATGGACCTTTGAAATGTGCAGCAAGAAATTAGTTAAATCTTGAAGTGGTTGGAGGTTATAATACTCTCTGGTTATAACTCGCAAGGATTAGATGTGGCTTTGCATGCAATTTTTGTAATCTGTGAACTAGTTTTAATTTTCACTAGACTACATTGAATAGTTTACAGTTTGTTTTGGGGTATAATTTAATAACGTTACACAGCTGCTTATTTTTGTGGTTAGGTAAGGTTTGATTTTTTTAAAGTATATGGTTGAGAAATATTTTAGCTATGTAACACGCGCCTAATAATGTAATTTTTTTTAAGTAAACGAATTGTCCCTAATTGTCATGAGTGTTCGTGTTGAACCACAAGAAGTGTTGGCCTATTTGAATCGCATGGGATTTTGCCATGTTACTGCTGAGCAACTCACAGCCTTTATTAAAGGTAGTCTTGCGTTTTTGTTCATAACCTTGTTGTCAGTTGATATATTTTGTTGTATATTAATTTCATTTATGTACTTCTTATGCATTTGTAGATTTAAAAAAACTAATAAAGCATGATTTAAGACAATGTAAGTGTTCGGATAAGAGGTCTTGTGATGAATCGTGCACTACTACAAGCAATTCAGATTCTTATTTCCATGACAACAGACCCTGCTCATCTCTTAAAGAAAATGAATGTATGAAACTGTCAAGTTGCACTTCAGAGCCAGATGAAACAGGTGAACTACATTGAATAAATTTCTATAATGTAACCTTTTCATTGATTTAGTTTTGAATACAGAAAATAATTGTCAGGATTTTGAAATTTTTTTTTGTCTTCTCTGCTTTCTTCTCGATTTTTATGATTTATCAGAATTAATGGGTTTGTAATATTTAGTTATGTAATACTTTAATAGGTCATTCTTTGTTTATGTAATCATTGCTTTCTGTTATCTTGTTAATTGTGTATTGTCAGTAGAGCCTGGAAGTTCAGGCATTTAGTATATTACATCTAATAGCTGTAAAAAGACATTATTATTCACTAAGATTAGGGATTTACTATTCTGGTTGAAATAAGAAATCCCAAAAAGGCATATGATCATCAGTTTTACTTCAGGGAATTACTACAAAAATTCTGGGTTCTTGTTTATAACTTGGAATGACCAGTGAAAACTATTTTAATTCTTCAACCTATGTAATCACCAGTACTGAGAAGTGCCATTTGTATTTCATGTATAGAGAAATCTGTCAATAGGGAATAGGAGGCTATACTCTTTTTATTAACTCTTTAAATACTTAAGCCCAAGTTCAACCCTACGTGCGGAGAAAGAGAACGGAACAGTGCCTATTTGTCATTGAGGCTTGTGATATGTTTTTAGCTTGATTGAGATCTGTGTGTGTGTAGAAAAAATAAAAATTAAGAAAGGGAGAAAGGGTCCAGATACTATTGGTACACAGTTCCTGGATGATAGTCAGGAGGTTAATGCAAACACTCTTTATTAATTCAACTTGTTAAAAAAAAAAAAAAGCACCATATAAAATATTGTACATTGGTATCTTTATTTGTAAATAGTATATAGCATTTCAATTTCTTTCATTAATTAATATTAAATTATACTTGACCTCTTTAAGTCCCAAATTATTTTGAAAAAAAAATGGAACATGAAATATACACTCTGATACAGGTTTATGAAATGTAAGTAATTTTGAGAATGTCATTCTTAAGTGAAGAAATCGTTGCCACTCTTAAAATGATCCTGAGACATATAGACTATCGAAAGTGCATGCAAGATAAGACAATGCTAAAGAGAATACTGTTTTTTGTGGGAATACACTTTTAAACTCCTTTATTTCTGCGTGAAAGGGAAGAAAGTGTGAAATGCATTCTTCCTGAAATAATTTGCAACTTTATGCCTTTGGTTTTATCTTTAATCACTATAGCTTGACAATAGTGTAATCAAGAAACCTTATTTTTCATCTCCAATTGTAATAAGAAATTGCCACTGCTCAGGTTATATGCAGTGCCTTTATGGGCTGGAGAAACTTTCCAGTTAATGCAGAATCTCGATGTGGGGAGATTTTACTGTAATAGTGATTAGTGATGTGGCCAGCTTTAATTGTACCAGGTGGCCCACCAACTGTATGCCATCCTCATTTCTTCTAAATGGTTCATGATATTGATATGCAGTTTTCGCCCAACAAGACGGTATCATGTGGCAAGCAATATGCTGTAGAGATATTGTTCATGATATTTATAGTTTTCAAGAAATTTAATCATCTAGATTTTAAAATGGAACTAGAGGGAGGATCGAGTTTGAAGCTGCGATACATAAGGGTAGGTATATATTTGTTTAGTGTTACTTCCTTTTTTTTTTTTTTCCAAAATTTGTTGAAATACTTTTTGAATTTTCCACTAAAAAATTAAAATATTAACAAATTTCTTGTAAAAAAAATAAAAAATTAATGAATTACAGATATTTGAAGGTGTTACCATAAATACTAATATTTCATAGATTTTTTTTGTTTTATTGAATCATTTAGATTATGAAGAAAATATTCAAAACTGATCTTAGTATATTACCGTCTCCCTACTGCGGTAGAGAGAAAGTTATGTAATGCTACGCGAAAAAACGGTGAATTTTTGGCAGAAATACTTTTCTTACAGGGCCCATGTTGTAGTAAAGAAACCATGTTTTGTGGGTCCTTGATTCCAAAAGTGGATTGATGGCAAAATGTCTCTTCGCCAGTCTGTGAACAACGCTACCGGCTAAATCGTTCTGCTGATTGTCTTAAAAACTGATATTCCCCGATGGGTCTGGCGGAAACGTGGTCCCTTGAATTTCAAATAGATACTATAATTTTGGGGATACTTTACATGAAAGCCCCTTGGACATTTCAAATGTTAATTAAAAACAATGAACCCATTTTTTTTAAATTTTGTGGTTGATAGTGTAAAGGACGTTTAAGAGAGTGGTGCTGGTCTAATGTTCCTTTAAAACTTTGATTTTTTGAAAAGTGCAAAAATTAACTTTTTTTGTCGTGTTCCTACAACTATAATATTAGAGATTTTTTTTCTTTAATGAAAGCTGTTCCTTAAAGATAATTTTGAAATAAGGTAATGTACCATGTTTTGAAAATTTGAGTATTTTTTGCTTAACATTAAGTAAAATAATCACAATTTTTAATTTTCTTTAAACAATTTTTTTCTCTAAAATGGCTTAATTATTTTTGATGAAATTTTGTTGTTGGGTAGTCTGAAGAACGTTTAAGAAAATAGTGCTGGTCTCATATTGGTTGAAAAATGTGATTTTTTGGAAATTGAATAAAACTCAAAATTCATTAGACATCTTCCATCAACTAAAATTATGAAGATATAATTTTTTTCTTAATGAAATATGTTCATCAGAAATGTTTGGCCGTCAGTTGGTTTGTACGTCCGTAGTCAAAGCTACTGCTAAAACTGTTCAGCAGATTTTCTCCAAAATTGATATTCCTTGATCAATTTAAAGAATTCAAATACCTCTTGATTTTAAAAGGGATATTTTGATTTTTGTGTGGACTTTGCATAAATCCTCAATATTTTCAGCTATATGGCTCTTGCTAAATAAGAGAGATTCTATTATCAATTAATTATAAAGTTCATATACATTTTTCAATTTCTACTTTCATATACTTTATGTATTACTTATTTATATATTATTATTATTATTATTACTTATTCATATATTACTTTTTTTATTTTCTATTTTCATATACTTTTATTTTTTAATTGTCAA